GGCTACATCACAGCACCGCTAGGGAATGCCTCCTACCATGCTGGTGTCAGTTTTGGCTCCGAAGGAAGGGATTTCGCTCTTAGGACTGGACGGGGTCCCAACATCAGGCTGGATAAATCCTCTTCTGTCTATCAAACTGGAAAACAGAAAGGGAAGGGTGCAAGGGGAGAGGAGTTAAGGAAATGAAGACTCGGCGAAGACCGGAGCTCACAAGCCACCGCGAGGGCTCTCCTCATGGGAGCTGCTAACCAAGGCGGGAGCGTGCTGGATAACCCAGCCTCCTGCCCATTAGGCAAACCACAGAGTTATCACACAAGCCAGCAAACAGCCTTTAGGCAGTTAAAGCTTTGGGTCACCACAAACCCAAATGGGAACTGGAGAAAGGTCATGAAAAAAAATACAAAACCCAACATCAATGAGGAAAGAATTGGAGTAAAACACTGTTGTCCCCACAGCCTCCCAGCAAACAGCTCGGCTCCCTGAAGAGCAGGCTGCGGGGAGACCTTAGTGCGACCTTCCAGTGCTTAAAGGGGGCCTACAGGAAGGATGGGGAGAATCTTTTTAGTAAGGCCTGTTGTGACAGAACATGGAGTAATGGATTTAAACTAAAGAAGAATAGATTTAGACTGGATATAAGGAAGAAATGTTTTACAGTGAGGGTGGTGAGGCACTGGCACAGGTTGCCCAGAGAGGCGGGGGGGGGCCCCCCACCGGCAACATCCCAGGCCAGGCTGGACGGGGCTCTGGGCACCCTGGGCTGGGTAAAGACGACTGCAGGGGCTGGGCTGGGTGGGCTCTGAAGGGCCCTGCCCACCCAAACCATTCTGTGATTCTACGATTCTATGAATCTGCAGATTTACCATCGCCAAGCGGCAGCACCGGCATTTCGGCACCTCTGTGGGGGTACTTCAGAGCGCAGGGGCAGATCTAAGTGTAAACCACATTTTGACTCCAGCTGCACAGCCTCGGACACCCTCCCCTGCCCTTGCGTTACACTGAGTTAGCACCTGAGACGCTCCACACAAATCCAGATTGGATCCACCGAATAAACTCGTCTCCAGGATCCCCGCATGCCCCAGGACAGGCTGAGAGCTCCAGGCCAGCGGGCAGAGGTCTTCCACGCCCGCAGCACCGCGCAAGGGTGCCTGACTCTGCCCAATTGCACCCTCTTGTGACAACGCAGCGAGAATCCTGTGCTGCAGGTACCTGGGCTCCCGGCCCAAAGCTCCCTTACCTCGCCCGCCTTTGCCCTTGTTTTACCACCGGTTCTGGTTAACTCACAGGTAAGAGCATTTGGCAGGATGCTACTAAGCATTTCAGGTCATCTAAATGTTGGTAAAACCCAGGGTCTCCGCGCTGCCTGGCGCGGATCTCTGCTGCCTGCTTGCCACGGGGCTCGATCCTCAGAGTACAGGAGGAAAAACACGTGCCAAGCAGCACTGCCGCTACTGGTATCTGCCATCTGCTGCCGAGCCCCGTGGTGCCGTTACTCTCCCGCTACTGAATCGCAGGACGTGTCTTACCTGCGAGCTCCATGAAACAACTGCAGGTGACCCAAACTCGTCAAGCTCAAACACAGGAGAAGCAACAGTTCTATCTCCTACTTATACATGTCTCCAGCCTTTCTCTGCGGAGATTGAGAAACTGTTTCCTCCTCCTCATCAAAGTAGATGTGTTTGTGCTGACACAGTCTCCCCCGAGTCGTGATAAATCCGTCCTCTCACAGAGCAGGATGCAATTCCCAACGCCACAGAAGTCAAAGGCTCTTACCTGGGATGGAATGGTCCGCACAGCACCGCGCAGCAGTTTGTGAGGATACTTTTATGGCTGTAGGGATTGGCAAACTCTGAGCCCCTCTTATTTGACCAGGACCCTTTGATCTGAAAGGGAAAGGATACACGCAGCTTAAGACAGGAAAGATGCGACAGCAGACAATTACACGACAATGGACTCGGTTCGAATCCTTGCTCAAGAGGCGGAAGGCTTGTCTTACTGCAAACATCCTCCCTCTCTTTGCTTTTACAAGCAGGACAGCCGCAGAAAGGCAGCCAGAGGAGACGGCAACACGCTGCTCCTGCCTCTGCCAAGGTTCAACCTTGCAGCTAGAAAGCTCCAAAGCTGTGCCCTCCCCACGCTGCATGGCAACTTGTCGGCGCCGGCGTCTTCAACGCCCTCCTCCTCCTCCTCCTCCCGCCGCTCTCTGCTAGGCTGAAAGCTGGTCAGAGCAGGGCTCTAGCTCATGGTCCCTCCTGGGCTCCTCAGGCTGAGCAAACAGCGAGGGGATTCCCAGGCCACTCTGCAACAGGGGGAAACAATCTCATCTGTCCCCACCCCGAGCAGCTGCCACTGGGACTCTGATTTCGAAACCCCGGTCACATTAAGCGTAGGCACACACACGCGAGTGGGCAGATGCTATACCTGGCCTCAGGCTGCAGCGAACCATTTACCATTACATTTCCTCCTTTTGTTTTTACTTCCTCTCCCCAGTTGCAGCATAAGGCTGGCAACGTGGGCAACGCAGCCAGAGCGGCAACGGGCCACGTGCTTCGGACTTGGTGCTCTCAGTATCGGGGTGCTACCTCCATTAGCTTCATTTACCTGGCCTTGCGCATCTCTGCCAACACCTCTGAACGTACCCGAAAGGTGGAGAGGAAAGGGGAGGGGAAAAAAAGAAAAAAAGGGATGCAAACCTGCCTTCTGCGGTGCTGGAAGCTTCCAGCAAGGATTACAGGTACTTCTGGCCAGAAGGGTGAATTTTGATTCCCAGGATCAGACAGATCCTGCTTTTCCGTACAATCCGCCCTGCTCAGGGTACTCATTTGGCCCTTGGAGGCTGCACGCACCCCAGACTTTGAGGTAAATCTCATCAGATGTCTGTACATTATTTGCCTGTTAGACATGAGGAACTGATAGAGACAAAGGGACTTGCCCAGGGTCTCAGGGGAAACTTGTGGTTATGTGGGATGCTGAATTAAGATCACCCATGTCCCAGGCTAACACCCAAATAAACCTCTGGGGCCAGCCTTCCTTTTTTAATCTTGGAACTCCTAATTTTAAGCAAGGCCACAATACAGACTGGAAAAAACCACACACATGACCTTTCTAACATCGCAGCGCGTGACCCCCGCCCCAGCCTGAGACTGCCAAGCAACACATGTTGCACAGCCCCCGCTGCTGCGGGCTGCTTTCCCCCACTCAGCTACCTGAAACTACGGCCTCAGTGCCTCGGGCACGGGCCGTTTGCTTTGCAGGGGATTATCCCAGGCAAGGCAAGCAGCAAGCCCTACCGAGGCACTGCGCTGAGGCAGGCAGCCAAGGGTCCCCTGACAGCCTCACCCCTGCTGAGGAAGGGCCCGGGCCGGCCCCGCAGACGGACGAGCGCCCAGGTACTTACATCTTCGTTCGTCGTCAGGTTGGAGGCGACTAAGTAAGTGTGAAAACCTGAGAGGCCCAAAATAGACCAGACTGAGAAAAAACAAATCACCAGCTCCAGCACAGTGAAACAAAAGTCAAGGAAGTCTCAGGGAACAAAATCATCCTGCAAGGAGAAGCGGAGGACCGTTTTGGGAGTATGCGCTGTGACCACACACACCGGGTCAGGAAAACATCCCAGCAAGCTTCCCATTCCCCGAGCCATTCTGCAGGCACCCGCCAAGGCACAGCCTGTTCCAGCCGCTTCCCTTTCCACGTGAACTTGCAGACTGGGAAACAAGTTTGTCACCTACTTTTAGTCCCTGGCGCTGAACTAAATAAGGAATTAAAGGTCTTCCCAATTTGGTGATGTTATCAGCCTACAGATGCAGAGGTGCCCGTCTGCCCCACCCAGGTAGCTAGGGGACTAAATTAAGTTGTGGAAAGTACACGAAGGTGACCCTACAAAGAGCTCGTCGCACTTCTGCTACACCATTAGCATTGCTGCACCAGTGCTCGGCAGTCTGAGCAGCTGATGGCATCAGAAGGATATCTTGCAGGTGTCGTCTTCAGAGTGGTGAGGAATCCGTCTCTCTGAGAGCCTGCAAAGCAAAACAGGCCAAGGAATGACATCCCGCCAGGCAGCCTTGCATCTCCAGCCAAGGCTTCACTCCTGAGACGCAGCCACCCTCCCATGGGCCATATGGATCTGCCCGGCTGCCTGAGAAACATCTGCAGTCTGTAACTTTCCAGAAATGTCAGCGTGCAGATGGAGCTCCAGCAGATTTGGGGCTGACAGGCAAGTCACCTTCCCCGCCAGGTTAAGAGCGGACGTACCCAGCAGCTCGTTTGCTCTGGAGGGGATAAGCCAGCCACCAGCTCTCAAGCTCTCTCTGCAGCGAGGTGCAGGGTGGATCTGTGGTTCTGGGCAGTCTGAGACCCCGTTTATTCAGGGCTCCTGCACCGAGAAGCCTGGTGTAAACCAACCAGACCCTTCCCACACGCTGTCCCAAAGCGCTGCCTCAAGTCGTTCGTGGCCAGGAGCACGGCACGCGTCGCCGCTAGTACTCACGGTACTTACGCAGAGTGAGGTGGGTGACGACGCAAGCGAAGATGAAGGCTGTCAGGAAGGAGAGGGAGAGGATGAAGGCATAGAAGTAGCGGTAGTTGCGCTTCCCCACGCAGTTGCCCACCCAGGGGCAGTGGTGATCAAACCTCTCTGAAACAAAAGGGACACGGTGAGGACTCCTGCCACCTTGCACCCCGTAACAGAGCAAACTGCTGAGCCTCCAAAAACCAGGGGCTACAAATCAAGCTTCCACCCACCACCCCGAGAGCAGAACCTCTCCGCAGCAGTACGTTGGCAAGAAGTTTCAGCAGAGCACTGCTGCCTGCTCACATGCCCTTTTTTATCATCAAAGGCCAAACCTTTCCTCCCACCAAACCCGCCATAAATACGAGCCTTGTGACTGGTAACGTCTACCATTACTAAAACTGAAAGAGAGCAGGGAAAGTGCGGCAGTTTTTCCAGTACCTAGCAGCACTGGGTGTGTGCACGCAGCATCACTGCTCCCTTTCTGCATGTCAGCTTCCCCCGCCTTCTTCAGTGCAGAAAATAATTTTCAAAGTTATAAAGATACGCCTCTAAAACCACAGAAACTGCCTGGGAACCCGGGGCAGGTGCAATATATCTGGAAACACTGCCGACTGCCTTCTAACGAAAGGGCTGCATTTCAGACTAACAGGACTGCGGTAACCATCCTGCGGGGGACATGGCTGCAAACAAAACCCATGGCACACGGCCGCTCCTCCAGACAACTCCTTTTTTCCCGGCCCCGGCTGCTCTCCAGCGAGCCGTTCCGGCGTAAGGAGTTACGGCCACCCACGGCTACCCCCAAACAGCTTAGCAGCCCCCAAATTTCTTCTCTTAACTAGAGCCTTGGGGTCCCGTGACCGCTGGCGGGTCGGTCGCTCCTCGGGCTGCCCCAGCAGACAGCACAAAGCGCAGCCTCCGCAGCCACGTGGTGCGTGACCAGGAGCAGCCGCACCAGGAGCAAACGCTCCGGGCACGTCCCTAAATCACATGGCACCCTGCTGCCAGTTCACGTCGCTCCGGTGCAGGCAGGCTGCGCTGGGAACCTCCCTGCCCGCCCTCCCGCAGCTGCCCCACGCCTGCGCGGAGCCACCCAAGACTTTTCTTCAGGTCTTTGTCCGCTCCCTCCTGCCCCACCACAGGCTGCGGCACGGGGAGAGGACACGGAAGAGCTCACCCAGCATCTCTGGCGTCTACGGCGATGTCTGTACCAGCCTGGCAACAGCAAGGCCACAGACAACAAGGAGCCTGCAGCAAACCTTGTGTTTGGTGGGGACCTTAACCGCGTTTCATGGTACAGTCCTCCCAGAACCAGGGAAAGCAGAGACACGGAGTCTTGGATGTGCTGCCCCCTCGCCGCTGCACTGGCGGTGCTTTCATTTTGAGTGGGAAGAAGAAAGACTACTGAATACCTCGCTTTATAATCCTTTACAAGAAGCAAAAGCAATCTGTCCAGGAGCATGAAACACCCCCCAGCACACACACACACACAGAGATCGGCACCTTCCCGCTTCCCGGGCTTACCGACGCAGTTGTCGCAGACGCTGCAGTGAGAGGTGCGTGGAGGGCGGAACATTTTGCAGGTGTAGCAGTACTTGAGTTTCACCACATACTTGTTTATGACCACTTCCATCGTGCGGGCCGGCGGGCGATAGGTAGAGGTACCCATGCTGTCTGCAAGGGCAAGGAGGGACAGTCAGCCTGGTGAGGTGAAAGCCAAGCCCCCGTATCACCCCGAGCTGCTTCCTGGCAGGGTAAGCCATTGGCACGCGCTGTCCCAATTTTAAGCAAAAGCCAAGAGGCAGCTCAGCCTACAGGATTTGTTGCAGGGTGGGGCAGCCAGGAACCCCAGGCAGCTCCTCGCAGTATTATTTATGTCCTTTCCTCGTCCATTCAATGGCAACGCTGCTGGGATGCCAAGAGGAAGTGGTATCTGCCCAACAGTTTGAGAACATAAAGCAATTTATAAATAGCGAGCATAAAAGCAGCAGCGTCAACGTGCCCAGTAACACCAACTCATCTCTGCGTGTCTAACGGATCACAACACAAGGAGGCAACATAATCTGTTAATGCACGCATGGTTCCTCCTCTCCTGTACGCATCCAAGTTACAGAAATCAGGGGACGGTCACATCGGGGTAACCGCAGCAGAAGCGTTCCCCGCTGCCACCGGCGCCCGACTTGCCAAGCCGCAGCTGGAGCCAGCGGCATCGCCAGGCTCAAGGGACTCATTTCCATCACAGCGGGGGAGGACAGCGAGCAGGTCTCAAGTACTCCAGGCAGATTTCATTGAAATTTGACGTGTGTATGTTAGTAGCGCAAGAGGATTCCTCCTCCTCAAGGTCGAAATCAAGGATTTTTAGGGACACAGCAAGTTGCATCTCTGCGTGTTGGCACTTTATTATTCATTGGGGACTGGCAGCTGGACACTGTTTCTCTGCTTAGCAAAAGCGTGAGCTGGAAAACCTCTATCACATTTGCAATTTCAGGGGTTACTCCTTTAAAGTCACTCTTGAAAGAGCACCTTTCCAACTCTGATGAAGTCTTCAAAAAGAGAGATGTAACGGGGCGCACGTTAAGAGGATAATAAGCGGATTATGTTAACGGTAACAGCTGGCACATCAGGCAGCATCTGCAGCCAGATTACCGCTTTAGGTGCTTATAAATAGAACCATGGATAACCACTCTGAGCATATTTTAAAACCTTTTTTTTAGTCAGATGAAGAATTATTGCCTTGCAACTGTCTTCAGCGGGGCAGATTCGAGTTGTCTCACGTTAGCTTTGCTAAAGCATTTGTTACTATGGGTCACATCAACAAGATCCACAGATCCTGGACGCACGCACCACCTTGGCCACCACCAAACCAGCGTGACATAGCAGTTTTTAGATGGGGACAAACATTAGCATACTGTTAGAAACCATTACGATAAAGAAAACCTTGCGGCGCAGCAGGCTCAGTGGCAAATCATAAACTTAAAAAGCACTCATTCCTAAATTAATTATCCTACGTCCTCACCACCGGTATTTTGCAGAAGAACGTACAGGGTTAGATTCCTCCGAGTTTGGACAACATTTAAAGTAGCTAACGCACCGTTACGGAGCAGCACAGGCACTCTTGCTCTGGCAGCGTGATTCTGAAGGGGAATTCATGCTCCCCCAGCTGCTGGCACGCAGTCCCTATCCGCATTCACGGCTAGGGCACCGATGCCGCAAGCTCTCCCTCCCCAGCTCTGCGCAGGGCCGCTGCCCGCTCAGGCGTCATCCCCAGGGCAGGAACAGGTATAGCCCCAAGCCATGTACAGGGCTTTGCCTGGGAAAGGGATGGGACTAAACCGAAAGGAAAATCTGCTCTACTGCTCTGCAGAGCCTCTCTCTGCAGCGCTGCCTGCTGTGCTAGAGGAGCTGGTCACAGCTCTCCTACCAGGACTCACGTTAAGCCTCACGATCTGATACTCCGGCCTTTTCTCTAGAGACTCACTGAGCCCGAAATGCACGTGGCACACACGCGCACACGAGGCGTGCACTGGACCAAACGCAGAAGAGGGAAGAGAAGTCTCACCGATCCGCTTTTCCAGGTCTGCGGCCTCACTCGGCGTGGCTCTGGGCAGGATACCTGGGTCTCTGAAGCTTGTCTGGAGCAGGCAGCTGATGACAAAGAAGAAAAGGACAGCTGCGATGATGGGGATGGCCAAGGTGAGGTGACTGGCGAGGAAGGGGCAGCTGTTAAAAGAAAAGAACGCGTTGTTACCGACCATCGCTACAGAACCGGCTGTCAGCTCTGACACTACGCACTATGAATTATCACGGGGTGGTGGGCTGAGGCGCTGCTGCTTTGCAAAGGCCTCTGGAAAAGCAAGAGCCAGCCCAGAAAACACCGGAGTAGCAGTGGGAAGACAGGGCCTTGGGCACAAAGATGGCAGTACGAGCCCCTGTACACAACCTTTTTGCCCTTCTGAAGTCCCAGAATCGCGTTTCAAAAACCTGTCAGCTGCCTCAAAGCCCGGTCACCTTCTATAACAGCAGCATCAAGAACACACGGAGAAACACCCCAAGCTAAACAGGAATCAAAATCAGCGCGAACGCGATCCCATTTGATCCAACACGTGAAGCTGAGAGGGATTTTGGCTTCGATTCAACACAGCTTTGCTGTCTCCGGATGACCCGGCTGCCCTTCATGGTGTGCCAGATGTTTGGATGAGGACGCCTTCCAGCACGGACACTGCTGCGAAAGCCACCGGGCATCTCAGCAGACGATGCCTGCTCCTGGGCTCGCCATACTACAGCCTGGGGCTGTTTTTTCACGGACGGGGACCGGCAGGATTGCGCTGCACATCAGGGCAGCTCCGTTACTCGCAGCACGACAGGCGAAGACGGCCGAGGGACGCAGCTCTTTGCATGGCGCAGTGCCGGAGACCCCTCCCGTCCCTCGCTCTGCAGGGGGATTTGCTATTATAAGCACCGATAAGTACCCAGAGTCTGGGCACAGACAGGCAAGCTGCTTGAGCCCTGATGGCTGCGGGCAGTGCTAAGTCTCAGCAACGCTGCGAGGCAGTTTGAGAGGATTAAGCAACTTTTGTTTCAACTCCCACGCTCGGCTGTCCAGAACAAAGCAGCCACCAAGCAACAAAACCGCTTCGGCCCAAGAGCAACGCTGCTGCCGAGCCCCTCGGTCGTCTGCCCGACGGAGGGAAGGGACAGAAAGGTCTCTGAAATGCGAGATGTGAGCTTGTTGCCACCCCTTTCCTGGGAGAATCTCTGGACCCCGCTTTCCCCTCATCAGGCAACAAGAAATCGCATAAAAAACATGAACCGTAGACACAGGCGAGAGGTATTTGCTATACATCTAGCAAACCGTAACCCGTACAACAGAAGCACACTGCTAAAATAACAGCTTGGAAAGCCCCAGGGCACGTTCAACCAAGAAAGAGTGACTAGGCAAGAAGGGAGGGGAGAGCAGATGTCCTCCGCTTGGCCCCGCACAAAGCAGTTACTGTGCTAGCGCTGCCCATTAGTTTCAGAGACAGCAGAGAAAGCTGTCAAAGAGGCACAGATGACACTAAGAAAGGAGTTTGCACGTCGGGATGCCATTACTGCCTCCCACAGCTGCCTGCCCCTTTCAGCTCATCTCAGCCCCTCTAATCCGATCAAATACCTTCATCTCCCCGCCCGCAGGCTTGGGCAGCTTTACTCTGAGACTCACAGAGATAACGCCGTGATCCAAAGGCAGGCATGACCCCCCCCTCCCTGGTTCGTACAGCGGCAAGGAAGAACACGCTCCCTTCCCTCCCGAGACAGAAACGCCGAGGCAGGAGAGCAGAAGCCCTCAGAGGCGTCAATAACCAGCGGTGCTCCTTCCTCGGCTTCTCCGGGCAGCGCAGGACGTAACGGGGTGCTCTCGGCTCTCCCCCGCCTTGGGGCGCAGGAGCGGGGAGCTTCCCAGGGCCAGCTTTCCTAAAGCAAAGGGGACCGGGGGAGACGCAGCTGCCTCTTGCCCAGACACGGCTGCACAAGGGGGACAGAGCTCCAGGTCAGACCCTCAAGGTGGGACCCCAAAGAATTTCACCGTTTATCAAGCACCTTGAACAGAAACACTGTTCCTGCTGCCTCTAGGGACCAAGTCCGCCAGTCTTGGGGGTTTCCTGGCTGCAATTCTGGACCAGTTCTCTCCTCGGTAGCAGGAGGGGAGACTGGGGGGGTATTTAGAGAGCAGGGGAGCATCCCGGGGGGATGTTAAACCCCTTCCCGGGGCCAGAGCGAGCAAACAAGCTCCAGG